TAATGCATTACTTTTAAAAGTAACTTTCCCCAACACTGTATATATATATATATATATATATATATATATATAAGAGAAAATTCAAAAGTAACATTCCCATAATGTTTGCAAAATGATCAAATGGAATGACCCCTTTACGTACGAAAGAAAAAAAAAGAAAACGTAAAAAAACATGGACGTTTTGAAAAAATTTAATAACTTAATTAAAAGGTTGGCAAAAATGTTCTGAGAAGATATTTGATAGCTGGGACCTTACTAACTGCGTTCAAGTTATGTTGGAACGATCGTATTTGCCAATTAAACACGCTTGAAGGTCACCACAAAGTCATAATTACGACTGAACCCCGACCAAAGAGCGCACTTGACGTCGAACTTCGCAGGAGGACCTGAACACAACACACCATGTAGCCTAGTTATAGTTATCGTCCTCTGACCACTGGTCGTCGCCCTCTAACGCTTTAATAACGCGCTGTGTGTTTGTGAATGTAGAGTCTGTCGCCCTCTATCGCCGAGCGCGTGGAACGCGTCAGTTCGGCGCACGTGTGTTTCTCTCAGCTGGCGTCTCTCGGTTTGCTCGTGCGCACCGCGCGAGACGCACGCAGGACGGGGCGGATTTACCGGAATACGGTCGGAACGGCGTCGCAGGATGAGCGTTTCTCCGCAGCAGCGCTGAAGGAGCGACGCAGCCCGGTTCTGCTGTGAATCGGGTAACGTTAAATGACAATCCGCTACATGTTCTGACACTAAACAACAGGCTTGAGTTCGTATTATTTAGTGTTTTTGACACAATCCTGTACCAGTGATGGGATCAGCACCTGTTGTTAGGGCTTGATTCAGTGTGTAGGATGTTCTGATGTGTTTACAGACGAATTAACTGTAGGAGCCGATGTTGTTGTTGTGTGTTTTTTTGCACATTGCCTTTGCATTTAGCTCATTTTATGCATTTTTATGAAACTTTAGTGTACATATAGGCTACTTTCTGTGAAAACATATGCGAGATGCAGTCACCTGAGGTAAATCATAGTGCATTTGATGTTTACTGTACTATACATCTTTCAGCATTCTTGAATGGCGTCAAACAGTTCTGATCGAATAAAGTATCACATGATGGGTAAATTGCGTTATTTGGGTTAATTAAATGAACTGTGTGTAAAACCTGATTTAGATGAACTGCGCACACTCACATGACAGTCATGTATGTTGTGATTTATTTTGCTCGGATCTTGCTTTCAAAGCTACGGAGAGTTAAGTTTACTTCTTTTTTTTTTTAGCGGAATCTGCAATTAAAGACCGTTTCTTAGGAGATAAGTGTATATGTAAACTTTTGAATTTGTGAAAATTCAGTTATTATTTGATCTATATGTAATATGACTATATGTAAACATTTGATGTGAAATAGCCTATTAAAGTAAGTCCTAAATTTAAAATAAAGAAGCAATTTTTATGGTCATAGATGAGACGTAGGACTAGATAAAAAGTGTTTGAGTTCCAGTTTCTTTATTTTTCACAGGCGTTGTGCATGAGATGCTAATCTCAGCATGTGAGATTACAGTAAAAAACGATACATTTTCCCCCAAACGTTCTGTAAGTGCTTCATATGTTTGATTTTAGTATGCTTTTGTAGTGTCATATTGAGGTTGTTTGTTGTGAATCATGAATGAATCTAATTGAATCATGAGTAGTTTCAGACAGCAGTTTTTACAAATCTATTTGACTGATTAGATCAAAATCCATTAAGTGAGTATCCTCTTTAATATGAATGTGTGTGTGTGTGTGTGTTTGCACATGACCCATGAACTCCATCCACTTCACAGCTGTCCTGTGTGCAAAGTTTATTTTTAGCTGAACTGACGCCTGTTGTGTGTTTTCCGGGTCTTGAGAGCTGCAGTGAGGAGTTTATTGGTTGATTTGTCTGTTTAAGTGCCGATTGATTGATTGTGTTTCCAGTAGCATCCGAGTCAGAACGATTCCGTCTGAATCAGATACTTTGGGGCTGCACGATTAATTGAAATAAAATGCAAATGATTAGAAAATTAAGAAATGAAGGCTGCATTTTACATTTGAAAAGTAAAATTATTATTATTATTATTATTATTATATTTTTAAAGACTGGATTTTTTATTTTACAGTGAAATATTACAATAGTATAAAGCAGTTTCTTATTTTGTTTTTCTTTAGTCATTTTTATATTTTTTATTTTAGTAGTAATAATAATAATAATAATAATTATAATAATTATTGTATATATTTTAAATACTATATTTTATTTTACAGTGAAATATTACAATAATAAAAAAAATCTTATTTTGATTTTATTTAGTAATATCTTATTTTTATTTTAGTGATAATAATGATGATGATGATTGTTATTATTATTATTATTATTATTTTAAATACTAGATTTTCTTTTAAAGTAAAATATTACAATAGTAAAAACAATTTCTTATTTTCTTTTTAGTATTTTTATATTTTAATTTTAGCAGTAGTAATAATAATAATAATAATAATAATTTATTATTTTCTTTTTTAGTAATATTTTTATTTTAGTAGTAGTAGTAATAATAATAATTAGTTGTTTTTATTATTATGATTATTGTTGTTGTTTATTTGTAGCAACATTGATATATAATCGCAAAATTTGATCTTTTTCTTTTAATTGCAATCGTAATTATCAGTAAAATCATAATCTACTTTTCTGTATTAAAATACAAACTGACTTCATTGTGCAAATTAGGCTTCATTTTGATTCAGTTTCACAATTTTTGGACTTTTGGTAATTTAATTAATAACAGTACATGAAAAATGTACATTGTTTTGCCTCTTTTTAAGATAAAGCGGCCCATAAATCAAACATTTATGTGTGTTTATACTAAAACTCTTTCTTTAGGTCTGCTCTGTTTGTGAATTCATAATTTTACATCCGCACATTGAGCTGTTCAGTAACTCAGAGACTCGTCCCGACAGACCGTGAGCTGTTTAACCCTTAATATCACTGCTGCATAATGAGCTTCCGTCTGCAGAGAAACACAAACACTGGCGTTTGTCAGGAAACTACAATCCTTTATTTATTCTGTCCTGAGGAGAGGCAGGTTGGCAGCTGTCGTTTGGCATAGAGTGATGGATTGTGGGTAATTTGACTCTGAAATCTTCATCTGTTCAGTGGGGTCTGATTTTGGATGATGTCATTACTCAAATCGTTTGCCCTCAAGGTGAACAGAAGGAACCACGACACACACACACGCACGACACACACACACGCACAACACACACACACACGCACGACACACACACGCACGAAACACAGCACAACACACACACACACATGCACGACACATGACACACACACGCACACACGCACGACACACACACGACACACACACACGCACAAAAAATTGGTGTACATTTTACTTTGAAACTAATTTCACTCAGAAATTGCTAGTAAATTTTACCAATAAAAACGGCGAATAGCACATTGAATTATATAGTATTTTATTGTAAAACGTACTCCAATAATCTGAAAATCTTTTTATTGTGTATTTATGTGCAAAGGGCTCCAAAAGTCTGAGGCTGCCAATTTATTTTACATGTTATCATTTTATAATTGTGGCCAACATGAACTAGAGAAAGCATTTATTTCATCATGACATTTTCTCCCCACTTTCAATTCTTTTACTTCAATGAAAGGTTAGAATGTTTGTGAATTTTTTGAATGAAAGATCAAAAAACAGCTGCCTTTGCTCATATTTACCAAGGGTGCCAATATTAGTGGAGGGCACTGTATATATACACACATATATATATATATATATATATATGTTTTCCAGTATAAATACTAAAATTGTTCTTATATCAAGAGCCATTTACTTCAATTGCAAAATTACTTAATAAAGTCTTGTTTTCTGAAAAATGCATCAAATTGAAGTGAGTCTATGCTTAGAAACATCTGCTGATAGACTAGAAAACGCCTGAGCCCATTGGTAGATAGTTGTTCTTGTTTTAAGCATAAACTCTCTTCATTTTGATTAATTTCTCAGAAACAAGACTTATAATCTTAAATCATTTTCCTTCCCAAATAAATGTATGTTAATTTCTGAATGTTTTCACTGGAAAAGAAGACTGAGCTCTGAGTGGGGTCTGTGTAATGTGTCTTTGTGTCGAGCAGCACAGAGCAGACATTAATCACTCTGTCGGGCAGGTGGAGAGAGAGGAAGTGAAGCAGAGAGGATCATGGGAGGACAGCAGCTCGTGCAGTGCTCATTCATCATGCAGTGCGTTGTGGGATATGTGAGGTCAGCATGTGTAGAGCAGGACATTATGCACTCACTTACACACAGACGGCTGATGTCTCTCTTTCCCTCTGATAGACTCCCATTGGTGTCGCCATGAATCTGTTGTTTTATTGTTATTGATGCTAATTATTTTGAAAATATTTTAAACAACTTGGTTAAAGGCTTTTGCCTTTAAATGCCACTCAAAATAGCTTGATAAGCGCAGTTTTCCCACTCGTTTTAACACATTTCCACTTTAGACAGGAAGTTGGGACGGGACACATCAGAGATTTCCTTTTTTCATTTATTTTGGCAATTACAAATTTACTGCTTACTGAATACTGAGCAGTATGTACTGCACACTGCCTACTATTTTTAAAGCCATCAGGATTTAGGGTTGCACAATGTGGGGCAAAAAAAATCTAATTGAATTATTGTATTTTTGTGATTTAAAAATTATCATTACTTAAAATATTTCACTGTAAAATAAAATCTAGTATTTATAAATAATATAATAATAATAATTATTATTATTACTATTACTATTATTATTACTACTACTAAAACTGCACACTATTTTAAAGCCATCAGTATTTAGGGTTGCACAATGTGGAAAAAAATTCTAATTGCATTTTTGAATTAATTAATTTTTATTATTATTTTTTGTGATTTAAAAAATGTAATTTACGATTCACAATGTTTAAATCTCTAGATAATTATTATTTTTTTGTGATTTAAAAAATGTAATTTACGATTCACAATGTTTAAATCTCTAGATATACCACAAAATTGTGATTTATATATAAATATGACTACAATAATAATAATAATAATAATAATAACAATGTAATTATTATTATCATTATCATTATTATTACTACTACAATAATAATTAGTATTTTACACATTTTTATTATTATTGTCGTATTTGATATGATGATGGTGATACTAGTAATAAAAATAACAACTTAAAAACTTTTAACTTATTAACTAAATTAAATATTACAGAATAAGATTTTCTTTGTATTATTTCATTGTAAAATTACAACAATAATATTTAAGGCTTTTTTAATAACTCAACTTTCAAATATTAAACCATTTGAGCTTTTATTCAAGTCCTAAAACTTCTCTAGAATTGCTTCTTTTTCCAAGTTTATGAAAACATTTGGTGTTTTTTATTTATTTATTTTCATTGTGTTGTTTCAGAAACAACACATTTCGTCATAGGCGTAATTTGCGGGTGGGACGGGTGGGACATGTACCCACCACTTTTTGCCAGGGTCGATATTGTCCCTACCACTTTTTGAAAGTAATTAAAAAATATATTGCGGAAGGTATGTATTAAAGGATAAACAAGATCAACAAATCATTCTTCATAATCTAATTAGGGTGATAAAAAAAAAAAAACATTTGACTCCTTACCCATGCATAACTCGTGC